AGAGGCCTGTGTCTGGTTTTCTTGCCTAATTTTCCCCTTTTTTTCGTTAAATTATTTGTCACTTTCATCAGTCAGTTCCATATATTTAAACAAATGTGTTGATGAGGTTTTTTTATCATCAAACGTTAAGCAAGGCCCATATAAGATTGTGTCACAATCTTAGAAGCATTTGTTAGCATTTTTCTTTTTTGTTGTCCGCTTACAACTTCCTTGCCATTTCCTTTGGTTCACAAACTGTGCTTTGTACCTTATCTTGGCAGTCATGCAAGACTCGCCAGGATATCCCAAAAGCAGCTGCAGAGCACTTGAATTTGACCAACCTTGAGAATTCTGTTATGTTTCTGCTCCTTTTTCCATAACCTTGGAATGAAGGTAATGCAGTCTTTTCCTGGAATGCTGCACTCAGGTAAAATGAGGCAGGGATTTAGCTCCCTACCCATGCTGTCCACATGAAGCCATAAGGAGTTAGAGATCAGTTACTCTTGCCCAAAGCCCATCTTTCTTCCATTTCATGTTTTCCTATAGTCTGCAAAACTGATGGATGTCTTCTGACAGTATTCATGCCTTTGGAGTGACTGGTGGATTGAAAGCTTTTTCCTCTGTAAGAAACATATATATCACTAGAGCTACTATTTTGTCAGCTTCTGCTGTGTCACTAGGAAGTGATCTTAGAAACGTGAATCACTTCGCCTCTTCGCCTTCTAGCATCTTTAGATCCTCATGGATGTGCTGAACAGTATCAGTGAGTTCTGACAGCTGTCTTGCTTATCCTATGGCCATGTGTCAGGGAGGACAATCAGACTTGGCTATTATGAGTGTTTTTGGCAAGCTAGAATTTTTTTATTCAGCAGCCTTGCAAGGAGTTAAACAGCCACAGATGCTTTCTCCTGACTGGAGTTGGAAGTTTGAAGGGCAGCTGAATTTGCTAATGTTCATGCTTTGATACAGAGTGTGAGAAATGTTGATGAGGCATGAGGCAGAACAGCTTGCTCTATTGCTGCTGTATTGACTCTGCAGTGCTGACAGTAGTTAAAAAAATGGCTTTGGTACATAAGCTTAGTTAATACATAGAACTTGGAAGACAGCTAGGAAAAGCTATGGGCAATGGCCAAGGTCTCTCTCTGTCTCTCTCTCTCTTTTTAATAGAGTCGCTTCCCTGCTCAGAACCGCGCTTTTAATTTTCAATCACTTTAGTATCATTAGGACAGGCTGGCATTTTAAAAACATTTGTACAGTATGAATAACAGTATCCATGCCTTGTCATACCAGGGGATGCATGATGAGGTCAGGGTTATTTTCCTGGTTGTTAGCAATGGTGACATTTTTGTTTTCAGCTATAAACATGGTGGGGTTTTTTGCTGAAGAGTTAGTCCAAAGCAAAGGCCTAGCTGGTGTCTTGTAAAACCAGAGACCTACTGGATATGCTGTGCTTTCTTGGGTCCCCCGAGCATATTTGTGTGCATACCCCCTTGAACTTGGCTGAGGAAATATCTGCTATGGTAGGAAAACCATTTTAGCATCTGTTGAGGGAGGTCTGTCTGTTCAGTACTTGACCTTCTCTTCTGTGTCTTGAGTAGGAAGAGCAGGTGAGAAGGCTAGGTGGGCATGACAGGGTTAAAGACCAAACAGAACTCAGTTGTCACCTCTGATCTGGAGACCTGCCATCCTTCTTGTAATAAGAGTTTAATGTGTTGAATCTTTCTCCATTCAGGTAGTCCAGTCTGCTCTCATTCTCACCCCACAAGCTGCCTTTTGGTATCCAGAATTTGTGCCAGAGGTTTAGGGAGTGAGACTTTAGTTCCTGCTTGGCCTTGTTGTCCATGCTGCTGCAGTAGGGAAAAGCCAGACTGAAATATGACTGGGAATGCCTGTGGTGGTTCTCGGCTCACAGAGAGACCTGCTGCTTCCAACCAGAGTAAAAGGGAGGAGCAGGATGACCAGCAAATAACCTGGGAGAATAGATGACTTTGACTGCATGTCTGTTAACTTGTATCCAAGGTTTATCAACTTTTTGCCAGAATTTTTCGGGTAGTTTTCTCAAATACTGATTGCAGGCACACTAGCTGTTTTGAAGGTGGGGTCAGATGGTGAACTTGGTCACTTGCATCTATACTTGTTTGAGAGAGAGTTTCATGTGGGATTCTTTCTCTGGAGTACCAAAGGTTGTCCTTACACAATGTAGGTGGATGAATAGTCAAAGAGATGGTGATTTTGATGTTTTTGTTTAGCCTCATAGTTCTCATTTTTGTTTTCTTTACATTAAGACATCCATCAGCTCACAGAAGCAGATGCCAAATACCTGTGGAATTGCTGAAAGAATATTTATCAGCATTACTCTCTCCACCACATTTCAAAAAAAAACAAACAAGAGACTTACAGCCTCATTATTATTTCAGTACAACTTCTGTATTCTTGCATGACATGAGGAGATCAAGCAATTCTGTCCTTTTTGAATGCCAGTCTCTGAATGTCAGCTTGAGGAGACCAACTGTGGCTGTATGTGAGAGCACATTCTGGGCACGCTAGGTGAGGGGCACTGGTGAGTTTCAAGCTGCTGGAATGCTTTTTTTTTTTCTTTATTTCTGTCTATCTGTCTGTCTTTCACAGACTAGTAAATGATTAGGATGTGGACTTGTCAAACTTGCTTGTTGGGTTTCCAGCAGTCATCCCAAGTGAACTGCCTAAAAAAGGACTGGCACTGCATCACATGGAATGACCAATGATATGTCATATATTTTTAATGGGCAAAATGTTTTAATAAACATTCTCCCTCCTAAAACACTGGATTCTAAAATAGTTTGTAGCCTTGAGCCATGTAGCTACCCAGCTGTGAATTTTATAAGGCAACAATCTCCACATCATTAGATGTTATGACTGATATTCCAGCACTTGCAGTAGTAAATATTCCACACATTAAAAAAACTTTCCTGTAACAGTTAAAGGAAGTATGGCTCTACTTGGATGATATTCTCAGCTCAAAATTAAAGCCATTTTCTAAAATGATGAAGGCAGGCATGTGCTGTCTTGTAGTGAACTGCAAGTGTCTGTTTACTGAGGCCATGCTGATTTTTGTGCCTGACAACTTTGGTCCCATTGCCTGGCACTTTAGAAAATAAAAAATAATTTTTCTTTTAATGTGAATTCTGTGTCTTCAGCCAACTGAAATTCAACTGAAATTCAGCTTGACTTACCATGGTTGTATTGGTAACGATGGTAAAAACCTGCTTAGTTGTATTGTTTTTGTTTTTCCTGGGTTACAACAGTTATCTTGGTTTATTTAGAAGCATGTTGGACCAAACATAGAGTTGAAAGCATGTTGTTGAGCTTTTTGCTATTTGTGGTAGGATAGAACTGATCTATTTTCTGTTATTTGCAAGTAATTATTTAAGTTCACCACTAGGGTTTCTGTTTACAGAAAATCACCTTAGTAATTCAGAAATTCTGCACAAAGTAATTCTTTTAATAGTGTACAATTAGTTTCAAGTTGTGGAAGGCAGCAACGGGCTTTCTGTCTAGTTTCTACAGGACAGAAAGAGAAGCCCAAACATTGCTTGAAAAATCTGACCAGATTTAATTTCAGAGTAGTGTGGATCTTTTACAGTGTGTATAGTTTCATTCAACATCAGTGCTGACATCTAGCTAATGACCTGGAGTGATAGCTATATCGAATGGTATAATTGTTTAGTTGCATAATGTCAGGGTTTTATTTCTGGTGTTCAGCAAAAGGTACTTAGGTTTCCAGCAATACAGGAGTAAACTTTTAATTATTGGTCATGTGGTGATTTGGTTTATCAGCGATTAGGTATTCCTAATTAGGTATTAGGTATTTTTTCTTTTCAGATTTGCTCTCTCTCTATTTTTGATGGCTAGACTGCATAAAGAAATGTTATTTTCACAAGTACAAATGTTTGCTCTATGAGGCCAGTTCTTCCAGAACAAGTTAGCTATCACAAAGATTCATAGGGCTCCATTTCTCTCCCTATCAATGGGGCAACTTCTAAGGATGCATCACTTCCTATCAGAGGGGTTCAAATATACAAGCAATGAATATTAGCTTTGGGGAATGGGATCCTAGAGAGAGCAGCATGATCTGTCTCTGTTTTAGCAGTTGCTTGGTAGGATGGTGATCTTAGAGGTATTTTCCAAGCAAAATGATGAAAGAAACTGACCTCTAGGTCAATGTCTGAAACAAATTCTGAAAGAGGCTAAACAAGAAGAGTCTTGAAGAGAATTTTGAATGTTTCTTGAGCAAATTCACATCATTGTTGCATTTCGATGGTGGCTTCCCTTCCAGAGGTGAATGAGTTGCTGTTCCTCAGTAGTTTTCTACTGGATGATGAGCAAACAGAAGATAAACCAGGGATCCTGAGTGCTGGCAGCTGTAAGGGCAAATGGCAACCAGCAGCCTCTGTTCCACTGGGCTTTCAGTCCAAAAGACCCCATCACAAGATAACCATTAAAGGAACCCCCTTAAAAGGTGGGAGACAAAGTCGCTGAATTGGATCCCAGCTCAGGTGAAGACAGTTCAAGTGACATCTTGTGTTGCCAAGGAGTGAAAGTAACTTTGCCTTACACTATGGTACAGGGGCAGGCTTTGGAAAAGCGCATCCAGATGTGACTATTAGTTTCCACTTATTTTTCAGGTAATTCCTGCTTCTCATATTCCAGAGCTAGTGACATCACATCTGTAGACCTAAAGCGCTGTGGTCTCTAAAGCTCTCCCAGAGATTCATTCCTGCAGCCTCATCCTCTTCAGTGATGAGAGGGCTCAGTGCTCTGTAGGCTTGGATTTGGCACTGACCTGAATAAAGCCTTCCTGCAGGTTCTCTCTTATGATGGGATCTTATTTCTTGCCACTATCCAGGCTTCACTCAGGCCTATATCCTTGCTATCCCTGCTCCTCACGTGATGTCTGCAAGGGGCAGTTAGTTAAATGGCAAGTAAATCTGATTCCTTTTTAGTTGAAAAAAGGAGTCAGGTGAGTTGCTGCTTGTTTTTGCTTTGATGGCTGTGTCTATTAGGCAGTGATTGACAGCACTTTCCCCTTGCTGCTGTCACCCCTCATAAACTTTATTCCCAGAGGCCCGACAAACTTGTGTGGCCCTGGAGGAGCATGGTCCCTGTGCCACAGGAGGGTATTCCTGCCCCAGCTGCCTGGCTTTGCTGTGTTCCCCCTCTGGAACTCTGGGCCAGTTGGTTGCTGTGCTCTGGCATTGCACCAAGGGCTGCAGGGGCTGGTGGGGAGCACGGGATCCCACCAGTGGGGAGCGAGGGGGTGAGTGATGGGGAGCACAAGCTGTGCTTTTGCTTCTGCCGTGGCAACACCCAAACCAGCTTGGGGATGGAGGTGGAGAGGGAAGGGGCAATGTGCCAGATGAGATGGACAGTGACAGTGCATGCTTCTTTGTGTGGTCAGATGTCCCTGTGAGTCGAGAAGAGCCATTTGATCCTGAAGACAAGGGCAGAGGGACTCCGTGGTTTGATAAGTGCTCATAAGCCACCATCTCTTCCTCTCTAGCACATAAAGTAGGGATGGGTGAATTCACTTCCTCCTCGGAGGAAGGAGAGCTGTGCCAGCACCTCCTTTACTTTCTGTTTTATGGCACATGAATACCTGATTTCCAAGGTGGAACCGGGGTGCCATATGCTTCCTAGTGCACTGTTTTGATATCAGAAGGGGAGCACTGCTAACCATGGCACAATATTTGCACAGACTGTGCGTAGATTCAGTTAAGACTTGAAAGACTTTGTGGGTTATGACATTCCCCTAAATGTGCTGAGCTTTCTTTAACCTTTCATAAAACATTGTGATCTTTATGGACTGTATCATATTGTGCAGTAATGTGCTTTATTGTCCACAGAATAAGCTTTTCTTAAAGATAATTGGAAAGCTGGAAATGGCTGCTATCGGCTGATTTTTTTTAATACATTATTTCTGAAATGGGCCTGGTGTAATAATGACCCTATCTGTTCAAGATTTAAGATTTGTCTTGGCAGAGAAAATTGATCCATTTCACCTTTGTCTAATGGAAATTTTTATCTGGGATTATCTGTTTATGTAAATGAATGTTCCTCTGAAAAGAGAACTTGAGGGGGCTGTAAATCTCAGTGACACTTTAGTTTCATGGGGGGAAAATTGGAAAGGATTCTAGTATTTATCTGACTGAAATTGGTTATAAAAACAAAATTATCTTCATGTACCTGCTGCATCTGATGTTTCCTGGAATTTCATTAGCTTTTTGAATAATTCAACATTATACTATAAATGGGATTCTCTGTGATTAGCCCCGAAATTGTTGGGGGGTCGCTTCCAAGCATTATAATTATCAGGAAAAGGCAGCCTGTTTGGGGCAGTGGGATTCTGATTCGGTGCCCTAATAGGTACCAATTAGCACAACCACATTATTCATAGCTCTCTGTGTACAGCAGTGAAAATATACCACATGACTTTTTTTTCCTTATGAGTTTTTTTTATTATATTTTTTTAACTGAAGGGTGAACGTAATTACAGGGGAAAATATCTTTGGCTAATCAGTTTGTGTGTACAGTTTGCAGAGCAGGACTGTAAATGTAACATTTAAACTGATATTTTAAACATCACCTTTAAAAGCAGTTTCACTGTTGAAGAGACAGACTAGATGTTTTGCCAAGTTTCCTGTTGAGATCTAGATGACCCAGAACTGACTAGGCTAGATCCTTGCTGGAGTAGCAGTGCCTGAAGCACAACATGTGGCTTGTGTGTCCTAGCCGTGAACATGGTTTTCTAGCACAGCTGCTGTAAATACTCCCTACTTTCTGGCACTTGGTGGAGCTCGCAAAGAA